AGAGTAAAGACAACAAACAGGGCAAAACGAGGCTGTTCTCGCAACTGTTTCATTCGTGAAAATAACCGAAAGAAAACAGCGTGGCCAACACTGAATACATAAACAAACACCTACCTATCTATCAGGCACCACAAAATCTTCGGAGCTGAAACGGTTCACGCACCGCTATTCCTATTAACTCGCAAAAAAAAAAAAAAAAAAAAAAAAAACATTTTTATCTGACAGCTACTGAGGGCGCACTGTCAAGCTGTTAATTAATAGTTATCTTTTTTACGGGTGTCCGATATTTCGCTTTAATACTTGTGGCGTCATTAATATACAGAATGGATGATTAGTAATTTCTGAAGAATTAGTAAATATGCCCAATGAACTTCGGGAATATTACATAAAAGAGGACAATTATTTTTAATGAAGTGAAAAATTCCAATTTTGTTAAATTGCCACGAGTGACGCACAATTCACTAAGACAAGGAAAAAAAATCGGTAAGCCTTTCTTCGCATCCGCTCAAAGGCCGGTGAGGTTTTCTCCGCATCCGGTGAGCTCTTCTCCGGTGAGCTTTTCTCCGCCGCCCACGAAAACTACTAAGAAATAAAAAAAACTCTTTTCTTACCATTGTTTGCAGTCAGTACACAGCTTAAAATTAACATGACATAAAATCGTCATTTACTACTTAAAGCAGGCCCCAAGTTTAACGGTTTTAAAAATAAAATCACTGTAAAAACAATTTTCATTATTCTGAATTTACACCTTGCCATCAGGCATCTCTGTGAGAACTCGGACGTCACCAGGATTTTAGAACGTTACCCATGCTTTTATCGTTTAACTGCTCCGAAGGTGCCGTTGCACAGGTAAAGTTCACAGCTCAAGCCAAAATATGGTCTTTCCCTTTTTTTAAAAAACAAGAAATAAGGGCTGCCATATAAGGACGATCGAAGAAAGGAACAGTGACGACGTCACCGAGTCTTTCAAATGAGGGGGCCTAAAGTATTGATGGTGAATGCGAGAATTGTACGATAAAATACAATTTATTCATAACACTTGCGCATTGATTCTTCAACAATCGTATTAGTTGGACATTAATCTTATGTTCATGATTCTGACAGTATTATTACGCAAGATTTTATTATTTATTCGTTTGGCATAACTCCTTTAATTTAAATAACAAGAAATCGAACTTGGGAGCGAAGTTTTCGTTTTTCATTTTCAATTAGGTTTATGATATCACAGATAATGAAAAGTCAGCTCAGCTATTATAAATCAAAACGTCACAGCTGCATTACCTCAGCATAAGGTTGCCATATGCTACAACCTTGTTTTATCTCCCCATCCTTCTCCCCAACCCAGAGTAGCCTACCGAAGCAGGCTACCCACTATAGCCTCTATATATTCTCTTCCCCTACTCTTAGTTTCTTTGCGTAGCTTGTTCCCAACTGGTTCCTTTTGGTTGTGTAAGATGTAATAACATACGTAATTTATGCTCGGATATACTTAAGCGCGAGACACATGCGCGAAAAATCCATCCGATCCGACGTCCGAACCGACAGTCCGAACGCCGCTCCGAATTGCCGCACGCGACAGTTTGAGACACACGCTTCCGACCTTACATGCGACACGACGGTCCGTTCGGCTCCGCCCAGGACCCAGGAGATCCAAGCGTTTCAGCGGACTCCGGAGGTCATCTCTGGTCCCAGGTTCACGGTTCAACTCACACGAGCGAAATTACGAGCTCGTTCTCAATAGCGCGTGCATTCTTTGCTGGGGCCATCTTTCTCGAATGGGCCAGCGGGATCCACGCGTCCGGCTTCCCCTCGCCTGTCCCGTTATCGCGTTCGCTTCGTCCCGCCAGACTCAGTGCGTCATCATGACGTTCGCGCTATCTGTGCTGTCATTGGCTGGACGCATCCGACAATCCGTCCGCCGTGCGAAACTATCTGGCGCGTTGGACGCACGTCGGATCGCCGATTCGACGTCTGAAGCGACCAAATTTTTCGGATCAGGCAGTCGTATTGCCGGATCGGACGTCGGATCGGATGGATTTTTCGCGCATGTGTCTCGCGCTTTATGGCTGACTCCATTCAGAGCATGGGAAACAACTCCAAATTAAAATATTCGAAGCTTTAGTTTGTAAATGGCTACTTATTTAGTTTAATGCAAAAATGGTTACTACAACGCAAAGGAAAAACTTAAACCAGCTTGCGACAACCTTTTAGTCTACAAAAAAAATCATTCCCACACATGTGTTTGCATTTCATGCAGCTGCAGAATCCATTTGTACTTGTTATTTAAATGCACCTGTGGGACCCAATTATACTAAAACGTAACGCCACTGACCAAGAAGCTTTTTCGTTGCCGCGTAATTCCGAGTATGAACGCGGCCGTTTTATTTCAGTCTCTCCTCCGAAAAATCAAAATTTGGGGGTTTTATGTGCCAAACTAATGACGTGCATCTGGCACGCCCTAGCGGAGGACTGACGAATAATTTCGACCACCAAGGGGATCTTTTAACGTGCAACCGAAAGCTCGGTTTCACGGGGCCTTTTCCGCAATAAGCATCCGTCAGATTGCGGGCACCTCGGCCGGGATTCGCCACCTGGAGAACCGTAGGCCGGCGCTTTTGCCTCGGAGCCACCGAGGCGGCCGTCTCTCCTTCGGAAAACTTGTGTTGATGTGAAGATCGTATTGTTGGTGTTGTGAATAATGCGATCCCCACAATTTCGTCATTAGGCTTTGCTATCTCTGCTTTGACGATATTTGAATGTGGCTCATACAATGGATGGAAGCAATACGTAACATTCCATTTAGACTCGTACCTCGACACTTGTGCCCAATCGCTCCCATGACGGGGAATAGCGGAACGTTAAATGTGTGAAGCTCAGCGCGTGCCCTGTATTTTGCCAACCACAGAGCGTGGCTATAAAACAATTGAAGGTTTATATTGGTTCTAGATCACGGGGTCGCTTGTTCTTACTGCAAATTGAGGGATGAACACTGCTCGTTTTATTCGATTTTGTTTTTCTGCGGCTGCTTTGTGTGAAGAAAAACAAAAGCTAATGCGAGTTTTAGAGGTTATGCATTTCAAGAAATAACTAGACTGGTTCAATCGAGCGTGTACTAATTGTGAATACTTAATATAGAAATAATAAAAACACGAAGGGCATCACAGACAACCACGCTCTTTCTTTTGTAAAAGTGTGGTTGTCTGTGAACGTCCTCTGTGTTTTTATTATTTATATTTTAGGTAAGAAATAATTCTAAACGATATTTACTGAAAGTTAAAGAAAAAATTCCATCGTCTTTTTAAAATATACTGCATAGCGACGCTTTAGTGACAGTGAAAGGTAACTACCACGTTTGTTTGAGAATTTGAACACTGTTTTCCTTTTTGTCACCACTTTCGAGGGTTAAACAGTCTAGTTTGGATCAGCTAAGGCCTGTCGTAGTGACAAGACGACAATTAAAAGGGGTCTCAATATAATTTTTTTCTTCAGTTCTTATCACTCAGGCAAAATTGCCGAGTCAATTAACCTTTGCGCGGCTTCAGAAAAACAGCCAAAGAGATACTACTGCGCCTCTCGAGATGGCGTTCAACAGACCAGTCAAAAAAGATGGCAGCGCGCAGAAGGCGATCACTACCAATTCCTATAATTCCAATAGTCGCCTGCTGCGCTTCCACCTTCATATCGTTATCACAAGTTGAGAATTCTGCAGGTACATTACTGCGGAAATAAGACATTGGACATGCTGTGCTTGGGCTGTATGGTCGGGACAAAAGCATGTCTATGGTCCAGTTCACCTTTGCCCGTGCAGGAGGGCAACGGTTGTAGATTTTGCTGTATTTTGAATCCAAAGAATAGATCAGCACGGCGTGTCCTTGAATTGAGGTAGTAATCGCGGGAAGCGACATGACGTTAATAGGGTAGCTTCTAGAATAGGCTTTCTAAGTTTCCATAAACTAGTTTCTAAAATTACACCCCCTGTTTCTTCATCCGTAGTTGATTGTCCCGGTGGCTGGAGCAGCTGGGTATTCTTGCAAAAGCACTTTTAATCTGGAAATGGTGAAATATGCGTATTTTTTGTTATGTGTATGCTAAAAATAGTGATTTTTTGTTTTATTTATAAATACTGCGAACACATGTGACTCTAAGCAGGAACGTACATTATAAAAATACACAGAAAAGATAATTAATACTCGTACTGTGATGCGACTCGCAAATTTTTATTATTTTGTGCCATGAAACAGCCTTTCAGCATAATAGCAGTAGGATTAGTAACTATATACTTTAACTGGGGGAAGTGAAATGTTTAGAAATGGGCGAATTGGTATAAGATATTTTCTCTACTTCATGGTCGTTCTGCATTTTGCGAACGGCAGTCCTACTCAGCTCAAAGTACTGTTCTGCACGTGTGGTACTATTTAATAAGGTATACTGAGTTCTTCGCAACCACCGTCATACTTGATATTATGACGCAATCAAGATTTTGAAAAAATTGTCTTGGCACGGAGAATGCAGCACAGCTACAGAATTATCACAGTGGGAGCCGTAGTTAACTTCTGTTGAATACGGACGCTCCTTTTTTATATATCTGAAAACCACGAATACAGTTTTACGCAAAAAAAAATGTTTTAAAGATACGATATAGATTAAATAAAGTGTTCTCAAACCACGTTTTTTCTTACAAATAAACAGTCGGAAATATAAAATATGGTATAAGAAATTTTAGAAACCGTTCAATTACCTCTGGTCGGTAACAGCTTGCGAGTTAAGGGGGAAGCTTTTCCCACCCCTTTCCACTTCAGCAGAGCGAACGCTGGAGCGGGGGTCAGCTAGCCTCCACCGTTCGCTCTGCGAAAGTGGAAAGAGGTGGGAGGAGCTTCTCCCTTAACTCGCAGCTGTCAACGACTATAGGTTTTTATTCTGGTGACGTCACAATTTTATTCCCTATAAATTCGATGCTGTGCCCAACGTCTTATCAGTAGTGCGCCTGAAGTCAATTAGACATGGCCGGTCAACTTGCGACTGTTTGCTGCATTATCTTTGGAGCCATTATTCTCCTTCCTGGGGCGCAGTCAAGGCCCCATCAGACCATCTACGATGCTAAAAGGGTAAGTGTTAATGTTAATAGTCTGGTAACATTTCCCATTTTATTATGAGTAGCCTTAACCGTGCCATAAAATGAATGAAATATAAAACAAACATGTTTTCCTACTTGAAGTCCTCACACAGAATAGATTAACTGCACTTGATTTATTCAGCATGTTATTATTAGCAAGCTGTATAATGTGCAACATTCATCTATTTGCTAAGATTGTGATGCCTACATGTATTCAATCTAACTGGAAACAAACGTTCGGTGATTCAAGCAAATACGATATAGCTTCGCCAATACTGGAAACTCCTCCGAAAACACATAGGAGCGGCGGCGAACGTGACAGTGGCGCCTCTAGCGGACTCGGAGTCTACGGAAGCAGTCGTCGCAATGGAAAAGTATAGGCTCCGCGACGTCCTCGAGCTTTACAAGCCCCGTATCGTCACCCTAACAGCAGAAACAATTTATTACGGTCAGTTCGCTTGCAAAGCGGAATTCAATGATCGCAACTGCAACGACAATCGAATAACAACGCGCGCATAAACAAAGATAGAGCAGTTTATTTAGCGGTCTCAAACGCCTCTCAGGGGATCACACGCGTTTGAAACGCGTCTGGGAAGCGGAAAAAAGGCGTTTAGCTACTCGAACTACGTCGTAATCGTTAGAACATGCAAAACGACATGTTAATAATACCAGAGCAAGCGCACGAGCTGCTGGAGCATAAAAACAAAACAAAAAGTAAGGATAAAAATGAACGTGCAAACACTTACCGAACTTTGCAGAAAAAATGGTGTCGCCGTTCCCGACGAAAATAAGAAAAAACGGGAAAGAGAAGCGAACAACGGCGAATAAAACAAAGAAGCTAGCAGAAAACTATTTCAACGACGACGATCGTTGCGGCGCTTATAAAAAAAAAAAAAAGGAAGAAAAATGGAAAGCAGCAAATGAATAGCTGATGGTCGCCACCGGTGTTGAGTTCACGACAAACAAAGCGGAAGCAACAGACGAAACTAATGAAAAAAGAAGAAAGCGTCCCCTTTTTTTTTTTCAGCTGCTTGTTGTACATTTCTTTATTTGCTTTCGTGGCGTAGGTACGAACTAAAAACAAAACAGGGGAAATAAATGACGTAGTGCAGCTCACACTGCCCGGTAAAAAAGAGTCACAGAAATGTTTTGGTCGCAGGCAGCAATCTTCTATATGTGCTAGCAGTGAGTAACCTTGTTTTGCTTTCGAATTTCTTTTTCCAGTGACTTGGGCGGGTTGTTCGTTCGCTCGCTTGACGAAGCAGTTTAAAAGTGCATTCAAGTACTTGTTGACGTAGGTGTCCGTAGGTTGACGTAGAAAGCAGAAGAAAGATTTTCCACCACATCGCACAAACGTGTTCTTGCAATGGTAGGCACCACATCGCACAAACTTGTTCTTGAATGCGGCCGGTTGATCAACAAACGATGACCCGTAGCAGACGTGCTGGCCGGAGTACACAAATAAAATTCGAATAAAAATGGATAACGAGCTTACACTTATTAATATATTTAATAAAAATCAAAAAGCACGTATGACGATTTTGGATTAGAAACTCAATCGAAGGCGAAAATAGGAGGTTATCGCAAACGACAGTGGAAGAAAACAACAACAACAACAGCAAAGTCGCAGACGGCCCTCAAAATGCCCGGGCCTAGCCTATACGAACCGGGGGTGGTAGGCGCCGAAGCGAAGGAAAGGGAGTAAAAACTAAGCCAAACAAAGCAAGGATACGCGATTGTTTACACGTCGGGCAAAAAAAAAAAAAAGATACACACAGCAACATATAAGCAGGAGGAAGAAATAACGCGGCAGAGTGGCGTCGCCTCAAAAATATTAAAAAAAAGAAGACTCAAAAATGAAAAGAGTGAAGACGGTTCAACGGGTGTCGGCCTTTATCGTAGAAGTAAAGAAGCAGCGAAGCAGAAGATATTGGTCGTCCCCGCGCTAACAATCGGAATTTGTGCACTGTAAATAACGTGACTGAAATCATCTTTTTTCGCGGGGCTACGACGCTCTCCCCTTCTTTCTTTGCAAGCGCGAGAAGTCTGCTTTTTTCGTAACTCCGCTTTTGTTAGTCTATAATCGCGTCAGATTTGCATATGCACACGCCTTCTTTCGAAGCATACTGACATCGCCGTAACGTACGTGGTTCGAAACTGACTTCTGCTTCTTCATCCGGAGACGATCTTAACGGGGATTAGCCAGCTCGCCTGTTCCACGAAACGGTTATAAGCAAGACACTCATAAGAAATGGGAATTGCAACGACAAAACGAATTGACTGATAAGAATTCCAATAAAGTTGAAACGAAGCAATGTTCTGAAATGTTTGTACATTTCCCTTTTTCACGAAACAGCGCGAAGGCATACATTAGTGTTTTGCTTGGCTTACATAAGTTGTGTCAGAATGTTTTCTTCGGGAGAACTTCGAAATTGCACCCAGAAAGCTGTAACATCTTTCCCACGCGAAGAGAATGTCCTTCACTCATGAACTGGCACCCATTTTTTAACTTTCAAAGCAGCGAATGTCCGTGACAATTTTTTTTCGTTGGTCACCTCGCACGGAGATGGGCAAAACCAATGCATTTTGGAGAATTTGTCTGCCAGCGGAGACTCCGAGCTCGCCAAGGGCGCTGCAATCACTTTTCGCTCGTTTTCCGCTGGAGTTGCCAGTATTGGCTTCCACGGTATTTGATTCAAGAGGGTGTTAACAAATGTTGTTTTGCAGTCAGCATTGATGGGAACGCATTTGACGAAATAATGAATTGCGCGGATTATACATAATGGTGGACGAACATAAATAAAACCCGTGAACACCTAAACGCCGGTGTGTTTGGGCAGCTTTGACGCAGCTAAATATAGACGTGAGAGCTTTTCTCCCCGGACAGTATAATCTCTTCCTTTCGTGTTTCATCGAGCAGCTCAGATCGTCCACTTTTTTAACTTTGACACCCTCTCATGCTCGGTAAGTGGGTGCTTACTACCTCAGTCAGCCCGGAATAAAATAGTAGGAGTTCACGAGTCTCACTAATAGCTCGGACACTTGCTATAGACGAAAAAAAAAATAGAAGCTAATCCCATTGATGTTAGGCACATTGCTCTGGCAAACATTTTAAAATTATTCGCCGTGTAAAAAAAAAAAAAGAAAAAAAGAACAGGGCCGCGTTTCCATGTGTTTATTGTTCCTTTTGCCTTGTAAACCCCAATGGTTGTTCCGATTTCGATCAAGTATTATTGTTTTTAGTCGTTTAATTCTTTTACAGCTGTACCCAGCGGAAAAAAGGCGTCTGCGATGAATTCCTTTCACAAATGAAAACGCCAGAAAAGGGACAGGCGTGAGCGCGTAGCTTTGGAAAGTGCATTCTGTCAGCAAGCTTTTGAACAAGCAACGCGCTCTGCTGAACTAGGCTGACGCGCTTCTGTCTTTGCCTCCTGTTGATTTCAGATAAGACACTGTCTGAAATCAATCGGCATGTCGAACAGATCTTTTCTGATAGACATTTTAATTTACTTGCTATTTTATGTCACTGACATAAAATACTGCACGAATGAATACATTAATATTTTTTGCTTTAAAAAGGCAATTTCCGGACACAGAAAGTTGTAGATCATGAAGAGGTAAAAATTCTCATTTACGCGCTTTGCCAGTGTAGTCATGTTTGCTAGAAAATAGGTTAAGTAATAATATTAGTATGAAACTACTCTTTTTTTTAACTGTATGACTAAAAAAGTTATCCCAAATAATATTATTGTTAATTGCTCTACGTAACAATTACTTAAGAAAAAAAGCTCTAATAATAACGCGTTGGCCGATTGTGTGCAGTATTTCCAGGCTCGTACCTTATAAGAATATATCATATACGTATGAAAGTTTAAAATATTTTTTTCTTAAGCCCTGCTTTAAAATAATATCAATATCAAATATTTAGATAAAAGGAGGTATTTGTGCACAAAGAGAGGATTAAAACCGAAAGCCGGAACTTTCTGGCCATATCTAAAACAACGCCCTCTTCCATTCTTTTTTAGTTTGAACATCTTCTACTAGTTTACTTTACATGGGTCTCCATGCTTATAAAACTTGTTGCACTATCTACCTGACGAAGGAGATACTGCCCCCCTACTGGGCCCCTTTTTCAGTCTGGCGGGGCAGTGGCCTGCACGCAAAGTGATTTCGGCGTACAATTTAAATGGATATAGGTTTTTACTTTAATATTATTTTAATAAGGACATTCATAGCTAATATAGTTACTATATTGACAGTGACGAAAACGAAACACTGTTTACAAAACGCGGATGCTTTATAGAATAGTGATTTTGAAATAAGATCACGCTCTCGCTGGCCAGTAATAATTTTTAATTTACAATATATTGAATGCATGAGCCTGAGTCATATATGAAAACACCACAAAGTCGTGTGACCCTGTGATGCTACCAGCTGTCTTGTGATCGTCCTGCTTTTTGTTGGGGAAGATTCAAGAATAAAGAATTGTTTGAGGATCCAAATTTTATTCTCTCTTGTGATCGGTCTTCGTGTGTGAAGTTCATGGTCCTTTGAGGATGGGGATTTGATTGTTGCTATTGTCCACAACTTTTCAATGCACGAAGCTGTTTCAAACATTATATTAGAATTAAAGACGAAGCTCACGCATTCCAACCAAAGTCTTATGAGTACATGAGGTATGGTGCGCTTTGAAATGTGGGGCCGACTGTATTTTGGCGATCACATTTGAATTATTGGTCAACTTCAGCTGCTGTAGCACCTCGCCTCGGCAGCTTGTAAATTTGGAGCGTAAACGCATATTAATTGTTAGACGTGCGTAAGGGGGCAGGGGGTCCTTGGGGGGGGGGGGGAGGCCAATTAGAGCTTAAGTTTGACTGTTGTAAAACAAAAGGTGGGCATAAGTATAAAAATTATTGGACTACATATGTGGACTTATTACAAGCATATGAAGTAATTATGATAAAGATGACCAGTGAAACGTAAGGTTCCTTGTTGGGGGGGGGGGGGGGGGGGTTCACACTGGGTAGAGTACATAGCGATATCTGCCTCGTCTGTACATACCTGTTTGGGAATTACTGTAATGTTGTACATGTGATAGTTTAAAAAATTTTACTAAATTATTGCCTTAGCTCTTAGGCCCAATTGCAAACTCGGTTTCTAATTCGAACAGATTTATTACAAAATATCCGTAAAAAAACACGAACTAGATTCGTGGAGAGGTGTTTACGACCAAAGGGCCATATTAGTGAAGGTTAACTGTCACGGTAAGTCGAAAAATGAAATAAAACTTTATAATTAAGTTTTCAATGAGTGAAAACGGGCATAGTTCCAATTAGAAAATTGCTGGCGTCCCTCAAAACCACTAAATCAATAATTTGTAGAAATACTATGAGTGCTCGGGATGCGTAGTAGTGAGTTAAATGTACCAGTCGCGCAACAGGCACTAGGCCGGGGCCAGGGTAGGGGACGGAAAAATCGTGCGGGCGCGATATAGCACCGGTTGCCTTGCTCGTGCTGCACGAGTGGTGACTTTCTTGCACCCCCACGCTTCCCGCCTGCTCCAGAACGCCCTAAAATTGACACATTTCGCAAGTTTCTATACGAGCCATATCTTTCTTTTCACAAATTTAAAAGTTATTCAAGACATTATAGTTTACTTTCCGACACTTTGTGCGGATTAGCTCCTTGCATTATGTCCCACTGGCCGTATAACCTGCCTGCAGTTACCGTATTAGTGCACCTCTCGAGGATTTCTTGTGATCAATGTGTCCGAATTTAGAGCAAACACCGTATGTTCTAGATTGTCATCATTTACATGGCAGTTGCATACTTCCCAAGATTATACTGTGCCAGGCACAGCTATCTGCCTATATTGGCCAAATACAGAGAAAAATGTAAAGAAAGGAAGCAGGTCCATATAAGGTTTTGGTTTGAATCACCAAAAACATACCACCAAGAAGAAAAACGAAACACGTTTCAAGGTTAAAATATTAACCGAAAAAACACAAATTTTACTTCCAAGATACTCCCCATCCCCCCCCCCCCCCAAAAAAAAAAAAAAAACGCCGCGTTAAAACAAAAATAAATTAGAAACCAGAAACGCAAAAGCGTAACTGCATAAAGATAGCCATTGTAAAGAAAAAGATAGATTTTTTTTTTAATTTAAAGTTTATTAAAATTTGGCCTCCACTGGAAGTTTAGAGCAATTTCATATCCGAAAAGCCTAATACGTCTCCTAGTTGTAGAGTACATTCCGTCCGCTTTGGCCCAGTCTTGTACACGTTACTAAAAAAAGTAATCGATTAAAATTACTATTACCCTTGGCTAAAAAGTATTGGATTAGATTACTTGATTACTCGACGGCAAAAGTTATTGGACATTACTTAAAGAAGTAATCGTTACTTTTCAGATTACTTTATTGTGTGAAGACACATCTTTAGCGCTCATAACAATGAACTACTTCCAACCCATATTTCACATTTGCACAAGTATTGAAGAAGAAAAACTGGCTCCCTCTTCGTGGTTGTTGCACCTTCACAATGCGGACACAAGCATAGAATTCGTTTCAAGAGGTTCAATGATTTGGGCGTTCGCCAGTGTGCGTGTGTGTGTGTGTAGGGGGGGGGGGGGGGAGAGGAGGGGATTCTAGATCTTATTAAGCTTAAGCAAGGGTTGTCGCTCAAAGTTTGCGCCGCTCATTTTATTATTCACATGTGGATGGGCTCGCATTTTATACAAAAGACCAGCAGCTCCAGGATTTGAAACGGATCATGTGTAGTATTAATTAGCGGAAGAGATCGCCCCGACCACTTCTCAACTCGAAACATTGCTTGTCACAAAGACCACGTAGGGGAAATGGGGAAATATTTCAACTGCCTTTGTTATATTTTGCATCCGCTTTAGGCATTCTTCGGTTCTGGTTCTCCTACGGGCTGCGAGCAGGTACCCTAAGCAGGATTTTTTTTAATTTTTGTATTTCTGTGTGTGTGTGCGTGAGGGGGCTAGTTTTAACGAAGGACTCACAAAGCTACATTCTGCTTCCTCATAGGGTGCCTTCATGTGCGCACATGAAGGCTCCCTACCTCCTCAAATTTCGCCCCGAATGGCCATTGTCACGCACTGTGGCTTCAATGGGGCTCCCCACTCCCAGTCCCCGCTCGAAAAAAAAAAAGCGGACATTCCACAGAAACTGTACATAGAAAGAAATCGCCCTCGTTTCCTACAGCTCCGCAAATTTTTTTCTTTGTTTCCGTTCGAAAAAAAAAAGCAAATTTTATTTTTGTCATTTCATAAAAAAGCCGTGGGCGGTTACAAGTAATTTTATTACTTCAAAAAGTAATCAGATTACTCTTCTGATTACTGCCTAATAAAAGTAATCAACTGATTACAAAATTACTCCAAGAAGTAACCGATTACAAATAATTTGATTACTTGTAATGCGTACGGTACAAGTCTGCTTTGGCCTGACGCATGAAGTAGATTTTACTGTCTTCTAGTGGCCAAGGAAATTTCCTGCTTTGTTTTTGTGCATCATGGGTGCCAATAACTACCCAATGTTCTTCATGTTTATCATCCAAAATCGTACACAACAGTAAGGAGGGTAGAGCAAGTGACTTATTCGGGCTGAGAGCCAGGCAAATTTATCCTTCAAAAAATGCATGCAAGGAAAAACAAGATTTAGTTTTTTTTCCTAAGTTTCTCTAGAACGGTAAACTTTAGTTTGTTGTTCTTTAGGGCAAGGAACAACAAATGTAAGGAACAAGAAACTCCCGAAAAATGGGCAAGGAACAACAAACTTTACTTGCACACTAAAACCAGAGGGCTTAAATTTTTTGCCATTTGTGGACCTTTTATGGAAAGATTGTCCATGTTGAGACAAAATTATCTATTTACCAAGTTTGTCACAACACTAGCCGTTCATAGCCAGAATAAAAACTAATTGATTTCCGGAAATGTGCTTTATATAATTCTAATCCAATTAAATGCAAAGGTGCAAGCTAGCTCGGCGTTATTTAGCGGGGCGTCAATATTAGTAGGATCAATACATGTAAAAATATGCGACGGTAGTAGGATGCATGAATTGTCATAAAACCACTCAACAGATTGACGCAATATCTGAAAGACCTGCAAGTATATTTCTTCAGTAAAAACAGCGAAGCACACTCAGCTTTATACTAGTCCTGTAAAAAGCTGAATGTGCACAAAATAACATTTTTCTTCTTGCAGACTGACGTAAGATATGACGATTGATTACCATGCATCAGTTGTGCTTTCATTCACATTTAAAGAAAGATAAATATTTAGAGCCGCCAGACGTATCTCAGCACGTACAGAAAACACACATAAATCTTCCCTTATCGTTCTTAGGACTAACCTCTTTAAATGACCTCCTATAGAGTTCTCAATTTTTCACTGAAACTCACTTACCAACGACATTGTAATGATAAAGGAGCCCATAAAATTCCCAGTCGCGCACTTGCCACTATTATGTAAACAAACTCATATTCATTTTTGTTTTCACTTTTTCCTAGCGTTACGTTTATATACCTTGATGTTTGCCCACTCTTATGCAAAGCCCCCAAAGGATGCTCTAAGGGAAAAATAAACTGATTTAAATTAAAATTACAACTTAACATATGCGACGTACTGAACTTTTTTTCCATATTTTCCAGGAGATTTCAATATTAAAACGATACTTCTTGAAATATCGATCATACCAGAATGATCGAACAGTACAAGGAGCAGATCATTGTGTGTCACTAATAGTGACTAATACTGCTTATGGTGTCAGCGATGCCATCTTCCGCTACAAGTGGACTCCCGGTGGTGATTAGTAAGAATCAAATTGATCATTACCAGAACCGGGTCTGTCAACGTCTTCGTCCCCGCTGTTCTGGATTATTGCGACCTACCAACGTAATTAAAACAACAATGACAACAATCATTCAATACTTATGCTATTATTCAGGGAGAAAGCTTTCCATTACTCGTTGTGTAGTATTGGAATTCCTGTGTTACCCCTTCCATTGCCGAAACAATAGAAAATCACGTGATGTATATTATGTGAATATATTAAAATTTATATAGAGCATGTTTCGTATATCAAAACCAATTTATTACTTATGGGAATTTGTTTTTACTGAATATATCGTACTTCTATGAAATGATAATAGCAGGCAAAAAATGAGAATGCAAGGTTTCGCAGCTAAAGGAATCTGCTCAGAAATTACTACGTTTTAATAGGACATATTTTTATCGAAAGGGAAATATTTAAACCTAACCTATTTAAATCAAAAATACAAAAAAGTACATTGAAGGTGAAAATCGATAGATAATTTTTTAACGCCGAAACACTGCTTGCTCAAAAATAAAAGTGTATGTTCAGATGGAATTTGAACCATGCAACATTTGTTGATACAAACTAAATGCCTGCAAACTGAAAATACGCTCTTCTACTAAAACATGTTACTATTTCAAAGCAAATAATTTCGCTGTATGGATCTTTTTAAACAAATGACTTGGAAGGAGTCACGAATCTTTCGACTTCTATCATAGATCGGGTTTATTTTGGGGGCGTGTGTCTAGCGCAGCGGTACTTATAGGTATTTTGACCGTTACGGACGTATACTGATCCACTCGGAGGCCTCTCGGAGACCCCAAATTCAGAGATGTAGGAGGGCTTCCTTCTAGAGATGTTCTTTTACTTGGTGCGGACCGGCCACTAACGCTTTCACGTACCCCAGGGGGGTCCGCAGGCCACTGTTTGAGAACCGCTTGGTCTCTACTCCGTGTCACTAGTAGCGTGCAGTATACAGGCGGAGGAAACGCCAAGCGAGTGGTGAAAGGGCAAGCAATAGGAAGGCTGGGGACGAGGACAGAAACATCCTCTCCTCTCTAACGTTCCTAGTGCTCTCCCTTCCTCCCCTCGCCGTCGATCGCCTTCCAGTACCGCCTCACCTTCTTGGTGCTCGCCCTTTCTCTCTTCGCCTGGCGTTGCCTTCGCTTGAACTCCACATTAATGGGACGGAGTATAGCATTTAGTATTATTTATTTATTTATTTATCTATACAGTTACTCTCACGGCCATCAACCGTTACAAAGGGGAATGGGTGAAAAAAAATGGTTTGATCAATATATGCGATAAGAACGATTATAACAGATTACAAACTACATATCCGAAGGCAAGAGGTTCGATCATGAAGACGACGGGGGAAGGAAGGCGGTTACAATCCAAGCTAGTATTTGAGAAAAAATTTCATGGACACCTAAGCACTTCTTATGAGTCGCGAATGCGAAAGATTCTTGGCGCTGAGAACAGCAGAAGCGGCCGCAGCGCCGGCAGAGAGCGCGGCGGTGCGCCGCGCAGACATCCCTGGCTCGCTGGTGACTGCTGCGCGGAGGCGGGACTGCGAAGCTGGGCGCGGCGCGTGCGGAAATCACGGGTCCTACCATCATCATCATCGCCCTAGCTCCGGGTACTGGTTGACGACGTTAGACTTCAAAGTGCACCGCCAGCACATACCCGCGTCTCCCCTCACATCAAACAGCTGCGCGTTCCAGCTGACGACGTTAAACCACAAAGCGTAACGATAGGCCTAACGTTAGGCCTAACATCAGGCTAGCGCATACCTGCGTCCCCCCTCCCGCTGCGCCTCCAGCAGTTCGGCTGACTCCTTATGAACGATGGAGTCACATGACGTGTCGCAGCCAATGGGAATTTAGGTGCCGTTTGCTGCTACAGACAACGCCGGCTTCGCTCTATGGGACAGTTAATGCTTTCGCATTAAAAAAGAGTCAAAGCACAAGTTAGCCCGACAGTTCTGTGCACCAATTTTCCATTGGTGGTTTATGTGGAAGGCAGATAGTTTCACGTATTGAAAAAACGTTTAGTTTAGTTAATCGTTTGTTTTATATATTTTATGGTTAACCATAGAGATACGACCTCACGTAGAACGATGACGGAGATTTAACTTTTCAGTTTAATCCCTGATCCCTTCCTTAACAAGACTAATCTGACAAAATATATCCGCTAAAGAAATTGTGGATTAATTCAAGAGTTAAAATGAGCGAGCTTGTATGAGAAACCAATACGGATAAAGCCCAATAACGTAACAAATATTAAAACCAAGCACGCGGTTAGCAACGCAGCAGGCCGTTCAATGTGTACTTTCCAGAACGGCTACATGTAACCTAAACACCAAGATACTTATTTGATCAAAAATAAGGCAAACAGGACAAATTAATCGAATATGTGAATGGTTGGGATTTACTGTTAGATCTTATGAGATTTGGCCCTTCATGCGGGCGAGCTGTGAGATAGAATATCACATTTGGCATCCAACCTGGAGCCAAATGTTGGCACTCGGACCGAGCTCTGATGAGATCATTTATTGATTGCTAATGTTTTGTGGCAAAGCCGACGTGGCTACGGTGTCTTTCTCAAGGCTCGGTCTGTCGGCCATTGCTCCCACCAACATCACTTCTGGCGCTCCCCTCGCATGGCCTCTCTTGGTGGTTCAATCTCACCAGACGTATGGCTGATTTATTCTGTTAAAACCCAATTTAGTACTTACTAATGCTACGCACCCTTGGCTGGCTAGTTTAATTAAGATCTTCACACTCAATGGGAGAATTTATGCAGATAATTATTCAATTATTTGACCTTCAAAAATATAAGATAAATTTTTTATTTTTGCGGAACACTAAATGCAAGTGTTTACTCATTGTATTCGAGCTGTGTATTAGCTAGATTACTTCTAGCGCCATTTTCGCGTTTAAGTTGTTTTCCTGAGTTTTCATTAATCCTCTAAATAAAATTTTGTTTTCACAGCCAATCCAAACTCGTTGAGTTAAGGACTCACAAATCACAGCCTCGAAGTATTATGGACAACATGATTACAACAACCGATAAAGGAACAAGAAGACGTAAGTGTGTGTGTTTTTTTAATATTCAAGAAAATGTTTAACACTTACAGTCTGAAAATAGTTTCCCGCTTAATTCTCAGAAAATGTAACTAAATCTAACTGACGCTCAGTATCATACTTGGCACTGTTGTAATGTCTTTGCCATTCTTTCTTTTGAAATCAACATAAAATCAATAAAAAAAGGCTAAACAATGCGCTCGTTTTAATTGTTGGCGAATAAACTAGGCCGAAACTTGTTTTTTGCAACTATACTAGTTAAGACAAGGACTCGTAAAAACGTTCGTCCTCGAAGTTTATTAATTGCAAAGTAGGTCAAAGAATTTTCTTTTGTTTTTATTCATGCATACTTTAATATAGAAGCAAAATCTGAATTGATCAAGTAAATTCTTACAATACTTGACATAACATTTTAGTAATATCATGAACGTCCAGCTCTATATGTATCATTATTCTTTTGTTAACTTATTTTAAATAAAAGGTTCCAGAAAGAGAATTACATTAATACGTTTGAAGTATGACCTGTAGGTATAAATTTGTCGTCAGTCAAGCAAAAATACATAAGATCACGCTAAAACATTTAATCCTTTATTTTCTTCGTGCTGCAGATCAACCTAGCAGTTTTGATTTGGTAGCGCAAGATAAAAAAAAATTAAGATATAAAATTAAGGTACTTTCACAGACAATAGAAAATAAAAAAGTCGAACTCATCAAAGGAAAGTTATAAGAAAATCGCAGAAACTAGTTTTTCATAATAGAAATGAGTTAACGCTTTTTAGAAAATTAAAGGCAAAGCACTTCCCGAAGAAAATTTCCCGAACATAAAATTCTACAAAAAAGAGAAAGAAAATAGTTTATATGAGCAAATGAGTCTTAGTCGTAGATATCACAAGCTACTTTGCGCTTCATAGAGCTTATTTATTCTAATATGTGCAAACATTAAGACTAAATCGTTAAGTATTAAACAAATATTTAATATTTAATATTATATTTTAGATATTAAATGCGTTAACTAAATAAACAACGTGCGAAAGGCTTACCGCGTTCATAAGAGGTGAATGCGGAGAGGCGAGCCCTTTTCGGAGTTTAAATTAAAACGAATTAATTCTAAATTATTTGCATAAAATGTTTAACCGTATTTGTGCAATTAAAAATTTTTCAGCATTCATCCAACCCGCACTAGCTTGATAAATGTTATTGCATTGCTGTGAAGATACCACTCAAACAAAAGAAGAAACGTTTTTTGTGAAGTTAGTTTGTTACAGAACATCATCGAACTCTCAAATACTGCTCAAATGCAAACTTACTAAGCACAAGCTGCCACTGCTTTGCACCGGCTTACTTGTGCATTTGATGTCAAACTTCATATATTAAAAAAAAAAAGAAATATAAGACATTCCTTTGACCTCTACAATATATCTCTGTAACTCAGAATGTGATCAAACGAACGCGTTCTACTTCGTTTCACCATACGTCAGGGCGCAACCAATGGAAAACAAGCTGAGACGTAGATACCAGAAGCGCAAAATCTAGACGGAGTCTACACTTGCTTGATATAGCTCGCAAAAAGCAGGCATAAAAAAAAAAAAACGACGAACGTCATGACGTTGTGCTTTTGGCGCAGCTTGAATGGTCCCATGATTCTATAGCATCGAATGTTCTGGCTTAAAGTCATTCGAACCGCTAAAGTTCAGTAAGAAGTAGCATATTTATGTAACCATAAATTACTATCGAAAAAATCGAAAACGTTACACCTACTCTTTGATTGACTTGATCATCAACGTGTTGCGTAGGGAATTATTGAGGATGAATGGTAATCTTTTTGGAGGCCATCTCAAGCAGATTTAAATTATTTAAATTTCATATACAAACATGTATAATAAACAAAGCAAGGAGAATCATTTTTATGTTCAAATTAATTCCTGTAATACTATGTCACATATTATTCAAAACATTCCGCTGAGAATGAGAACGCCATTGCGATTAAACCCAGGTCCTAAGGAGGCCGCGGGGATTGAGCGAATGCCTTTCTGGGGGAAGGCAGGGGGGGCTCATTCGACACTTTCTACTGTTGTTAGAACTTACCTATTAACGACTAGCTTTCGTGTGGTGAATTTCTTCCTCCTATACTCATTTTTATTTTAAGCGTTAGTTATTTTTCTATTTTTATGCAAGTTACTTTGTCGTCGCAAGGAAAATAAATTTAGCTGTCTATGACTGGAACAACGGAAATAACAAGATTAGAATTACTTCTCAAATTTACCTTCTTAGCATTATATTAAAATTATGCCCTCCAGTTCAATATTTTGCAAATTAAAAAAAAAATATTGAAACCTATCTGTTCTAAGATTTATGAAGTATGCAGTTTTCTTACCAACGCTAACAATTGAATATTTTATAAAGAACAACAACATTGAATGTTTTCTATTAGTATAATTATAGTGTATAACTATTTCTTACCAACACTAACAATTGGATAATGACTTCTAAAATTTAGAGCTGTACAATCAGAGGCTTCAGTACTCCGACTACCAACACTGTCGAGTGCTTGTTCAGGAATTTGGAGGCCGAAAAGGTAAATAATGTTATTTCTTGCTCGGGTGATGGCATTGGTTTTGTATCCGTAAGCAAATTTATTGTTGGCCTGAACACTTCTTTGACATGTTATCTTATTTAAAATTGGCATGATTCTAACAATGACTTTCGTGGGTCTTACGTGTCGTTTATAATGTGCCGTTGTTTCGAAAGACATAGTTAAGAGTCAACATGACGAGATGAATATTGCATGCATTCTCTGTAGTCAAGTTTTTTTGTTCAATTTATTGCCTCTCGTTTGGCACGCCCTAACTTAAGATTTGTCAAAAGGTATATCTGATCACAATATGCAGTGTGTATTGTTTAGGAAGTAAAGTCTACAGTAATATGAGCTGGCTCTACGGGGCGCCAGTCCGAGCAGCAAACACGTAGCAGAGCGCGTTGGATGAAAGAACTGTGTGTGTCTGTCCCTCGTATATTTTCTGTGTTTTTATTATTTCCGTGTGAGCAGTAAAGCTCCCGCATTAGGCACCCCAGACACCATAAACTTTTGAAAAAAAGAAACTTTTATTTTCGTTTTGAGTTTGGGGCTTCCATTTGGAAGTGAGATTGGCGGTGGAGAAATATGCCGGAACAGCGCGTTAGCATCGGCGGTGGCGGCCGCGCAGCAAAAATGCCAGCGAGGAGAGCAGCTCCGTCTGTAGTTTACCGCTGAGAGCCGTCGCTCGGCCGCTCCACCACTGAGGCCGGATGTTCCGAATTCCAAATTTGCGACCGCTCGCTGATTGCAAGGGGAGGGTCTAATACGTAATGCCCTGCGTCACGCCCAAGATAGCTTTTGCGGAGATGTTTGCTGTTTTAAACGCGTAATTAGCCGGTTGAATGGAGAATTTGGAGTCGTATATCTTAGAACACGGGACGGTTGCTAGAGTTTTAAATATCTGAAGTCCTAGAATCTGATGTCATTTAAGTTTTCATTACAAACTCATATCTTAAACAGCACCTAGAAAGTTATTTATTACAATTTTTAATTAGGAAGTCCACAGTTAGAATTATCCCTGTACTCAGTGTCCGACTGAAAGCAAAAACTATATAGCTGCAAAAACGATTTTGCGTACCTTCTATTGTTTCGTTTTAAGTATGTCAAAAACGTACTTTTAAACACCCTCTATGCTACTTCGTTTCCAATATATGCTTTTAAGGGAAATCTAAAAAATGAAATCCGCTTACAACTCCCTGTAACGCCGGATCAGGGCGCAGCACTTGAGAATGAGGAACGGAGGGTACGAAGATGACGGTATGCCTCTCCTTCTGCCCTGCTCCTCGCGTCCTCCCCCTCTTCTCTTACTCGTCCCTCGTCCTCCTCCCTCCTCCTCTTCCCTCCTCCTCCTACATCCTCCTCTCCTTCCTCCTCCCCCACCTCGCTCCTCTCTCCCGCGCGTTGCATTATGGGAAACGCTCTGTCTTTGCCTTGCGGCGCATTTTGTGAAAATAATGCATAATGGGAAACGTGCCATAATGCACCGCGGTGACGCGCGCGTTGCATTATGAGACGCCGACGGTGATGCGTCACGCTGACGCGTTGTGGCTACGCAAACGGCGACGGTTACGCCGCCGCGTCAAGAAAAAGCGTTAAGCCGACGCGTTACGGTTACGTCGATGGAGACGGCGACGCCGACGCGTCACGTAATAGCGTTACGCCGACGCGTTACGGTTACGCCGACGGTGACGGCGACGCCGAAGTGTCACGAAAAAGCGTTACGCCGACGCCGACGGCGATGGCGACGGCGATGCCGACGCCGCCCAAGTTAGAAACGGGCGCCTAAGAGATTTCGAGCTAAAAGGTTTTAAAAACAATTTTTTTCCCGATATGTAACAAACGTTGGCGAACACCAGTAAGAAAGAACCGTTTAAAAATATTTCCTTAAGGCTAAATGAAATAAACTTGTCTTGATAATTCTTATGAACCTGGAATCTCATAATGTATCGTGCTGAATTGTGCGTGCGTTAGGATTTGTTATGCTCAGTCACGGGGAGCAATATGTGGTTACGAGTGCGTTGCACGCACAACACCCTGAAATGCTCCCCGGGTTTATAAGAATGATCAAGCATATATTTAAATTGATCAAGGACCCATGACGGGAAATTAAATGGCAAGCTAGGCTTCGTCATTAGAGACCCAGCTTCCCGGGCGCGTATTTGTAAACGGTAGGTGATACGTGGCATGACTACGCCGCTCGCGCCTGATTGGCTGCTCCTCGAAGACGACGCTACGTCGTCCCACATAGCAACGCGCAGCGGGCGTTGAGCGTATATCACTGGTGCACGTTTGAACTTTTAACCTACCCCCCACTCCTCCACCCCCCCGTTCAGACAGTCTGCGACGGCTCATTCGCGCGCCCCAGTGATACACACGCGCAACGTCGCCGCGAAGAGGCGTGAATAGGGGTGGGGGAGGATTAGGTTAAAACGCGCCTCACTGATACACGCGCAACGCGCGCCGGCAGGCGCAGCAACCGCCTGTTGCGATATGTGACAACGCAGCGGCCTCTTAGAGGAGCAGCCAATCCGACACGAGCGGTGTTGCCATGCCGCTTTATCCCCTGACGTTTACAAAAACGAGCCAGTGACCATAGCGCCCTGTGCCTGAACACTATTGGCCCTCTCCTCCCCCCCCCCCCCCCCCCCTCTACTCTTACAACGCTTCCGCACACATATACCGTTTATAAATACGCTGCCCGGGCCGATGGCCGCCTGCTACCACAGGCTTCAATGAGTAAAACCTAGTCCTGCAGCTTCATGAGGCTGAACTCCTTGGAGCGAATTATGCGACGAATAACTGACGAACGTCGCCCCACGGCACGCTCGGTCTGCGCGCGACGTAGAAGCCAGCAAAGTGGAAAGTTGAGCCAGTTGGTTCATGGTTCTTTAAATAATTAAAAGCGCCGAAAAAGACAAGGACAAAGAAGTGGAACGACACAAGGCGCACTCGCAACTGTGGTTTGTTTCGAAAAGTACATGCATTTATAGGCCCCAGAACCCTGTCAGTCATCAGCGTGTCCCTCGCAACGCTTCTTTCAAATATGCAAACTCACTCTTTGACAGGGCGCGTGACGCTTCACTTACAAATTCAACGCCCTTATCCCTAATTGCATACGCCTCGTGCACCTCTCTGCTTGTTCGGTCGCGATAACGAGCCAAAATCTTAATGTCATGTAGCACTGGCGTACACGGGCATCTATTACAATGAATGGCGAGATGGCCAGATGGGCTGGCTCGCGTGGCAGCCGCATGCTCGCGGGCGCGGTCATTCACACATCTGCCCGTCTGACCAATGTAAAACAGCGCCGCCTGGCAGAGGGATTTCATATACAACTCCTGAGGCACACTCGGCAAATTTTGTTTTGTGCTTTTTGCTGCAAAGATCAGTCTGTTGATCGCGACAATTGATTTTACGGCCAAGTCGTACCATCCGATTGGGCGCTGAGAAAACCACAGGTACATTGAAACGCTGGGCCACTTTCTTTAAATTGTGTGACACTGAGTGCAGGTATGGAATAACCGCTGGTCTCATACTGAGTCTCTCGAGGGCGGGTTTGCACGTTCCTTTTATCTTTTTTACCAGGCCTTCAGCAACCTCAGTTAAGCACCTTTGCGGAAAGCCGGCCTCTTGCAGTTTTGTGATCTGTCGCGCGAAACTTTCCTGAACGGAATGCTCGCAAGACTTCTTGAGAGCGGCCTCCAAGCACGTTTTGGCGACGCCCCTCTTTACTAACTTAGAGTGAGCCGACTCAAATGGCAGGATCGCTTCCTTGGATCTCGGTTCATAAGTGCAACATATATGGCCTTGTAAAAAAGACTTAGTTTAATATCTAAAAATTATACCTTCCCCTCAGTGGGTGTCTCAAAGGTAAAAGTCAAACCGCCCGCGCAAGCACCGAAGATACGCATAATCGCAGATACAGCTTCTGCCAACGATGCCTCGGGCGCCTCACTAAAAATAAGAAAATCATATACGTATATAAATATCCTGTTTTTGCCATCGCAACTTAGCTTCTCTAGGATGGCGTTGTCGCAACTATTCCACCTATAAACAATTTTTAAAACAGAAAGTATGTTTAACGGCACACAGTAATATGTTTTGCAAGATTATTGTTATCATTCACGAACCTTAAGAAAATGCAAGAGAAAAGTGCGCACAATATGACTTCTCGAGGAAGATATGAGTGGTTTGTCTAAGCCATAATATAGCGTGATTACCGCTGTTAACTGTGAAATTTTCGTCCACGATCAACAGTACTCAGATGCTTACTTGGTTCTGGAGCTTTCTAGTAGAAGAAAAGGAAATTCATTACAATTTTTGATGTTCAATAGTGTTACTCTAAAAAGCAAGTAATGTATTTTTCAGATTTTATTTCTCAGCTTTACGAGTTAGGAAGTTTTCTACACATTGCAGGTTTCAGTATACAGTTAATATTTCACAACACTCTTTATGCGTAGAAGCAAGCACAACAAACTTAAATTAAAGAAATCTTCCGTCCAGTTCGTTAGTCAGATTCTAATGAAAGCGCTGATAAAACTCAATATTTTGCTCTAGAATATTTGGTGTTGTCATCTTTAATGCTCTATAAGTTTTGATATTTGCTTAAAAAGTGAAACGGAACAATAATGCTGATGATAGAAACGTTCTATGCAAATTTAGGTATAGTCTACCAGAGAAAATCCCACAACTTCAATCATTGACAGGGGCAGCTAGAGTCGTAAATGGAGTATTCCTCAGCTTCAAGATAACTCTCAGGTATTCAGAGCGTATATTCATTCCTCAAGGATTGACCAGGTAAATAATATCACCGGTAACTGCATGGGCACAACCAAACAACATGTCTAAGGTTGGTTTGATCCGCTGAAACATGTTTAGAGTGTCCAGGCTTGCAAAGCAGCGGCATCCTTTTGCTTCCTCTTTGAGCATGGGTCTTCTCCCGTGCAGTACACAGTTGACAAGTAGATCGGGTACCCCGGGAATTTCGACGGAACTGCTCCAGTACGGAGGCCGGTCAAGTCAATCGCGCAGCCAAAACGCGCCCGGCAGCATCGTCGGCGTGGGAGTTTTGCCGAATAACTTCAGCGTCCTTGAATAAGGAAGTAAAGGTTGCACACCAAGGAAACAAATGCGCCTTGTTGTTCGAGAGTGAACAAACGAGGGACATTAGTGTGCTTCAGACATTTAACACTCGCAAACCTCTGAAAGCTGCTGAAACGCCACTACCGTGAGCCCAATGAAAGTGGTCGTACACGAAAAGCAGACAGTAACTTCCAAGCACGGCAAGCTTCTCGAATCTCGAAACTTTAATTTTCACGAAGCAACTCGCATTTTTACTGCCACTCATGCGTGACTGCATTTCTAGTTCCTTTGCGACTTGAAAAATAACTTGAAAAATGAAGTTCTCACCCTGGTGGGGCTCGAGATAACGAAATTGTGTTGATGAAGGCGTTTAAGGCATAACAGGCGTTCACGATTGAGAACAGGGAGTCTTATTTCGTGTGCCCTCTCTGCTCTGCTGTACGGAGAGGCACAATCGCCACTGCGCATACGCGAGCGCTCTGAGATTTGAGCTTAGCCGGCTGTTCATGCGCATTTGGGCTGGCTCGAAGCCCAGCGGAAAGTGAAAACGATTTACTTAAAACTTCACAGTGACAGGACGATTGACGAAAACGTAAAGCAGGAAGAAAAAAAAAAGAACGCAGCTTTTCATTGGGTGTTGAACACCGACGTATGCGCAATTGGCCGGAATGAAGCATAACATGACCAGGTTATACATTTGGGGCAAAGGGATGGTGCATTGCACTGAAGCCGACGTCTCAGGCAATTTGGTCAATCGGCCTTCGGCTCTGACCCGGTTTGACGTCATCTCTCCGAGCGATCCGGCTTTGTATTCTAGACGATGTCTGTAGGGCGGGCGGGGGCCGGGAGGGGGGGGGGGGGGGGGGTACCTTTTTACAGGGGTTTCAGAACAAAGGTAATCTAGTGACGTTACTCCCAAACTACACAATATGTGACATTGACGTCACACTTATGGATAATTGAGAGCGCGGAAAAATATGAGAGTTGTTTTTCACATAGCCTTCATTTGCCCTTTTTTTAAATAGCTATCTGGTATTTAGAGATAATGAATAGCATGTCGCGAAGTGTAAAGCCTGGGTATTCCGAAGAAGTTTTAGTTTGGGTCACTCAAAAACCGCCAGGGATCTGCACACTAATGGAAACTTCTGCGTTCAACATATTTGCTCGTGTTTTTTTATATATATTATGCGGATTTGTTTCAAGATACAAATTTCTGACCTGGAATCAAGTTACTGTGTTTTATATTTTATCTCTGTGTAGTTGGTCGGCACCACAAACACAAAGGTTTGTTTTGATTTATGAATTCTTATATGACTTGGCCTGATGGAATTTTCGCCCGAGATAGTCCTCCTGTTCTTTTTCTTATATTTACTGTGAACTAGTCTCTGATCTAATAAAGAAGTATAATCAGCTTGGAATAAACTTTTTTCATACTAAATGCAAAATTATTTGTGCATCAACATATTTTTTTTTTGTTTTTTTGTTTACAGAGTGTAGCCTCTGGTTGAGCCCTGAGAGGAGACAAGGGCCTGTTCCGACTCCATGTAGCACGGCCTACACTGCCATTTGCCAACAGAGAGTGTACCAAATTGATGACACTGCTCGATGCCGTTAGCGACAAGTTTAGATTGTGAGCGAAGTTAAAACAACTGCATCGAATGAGATCTTGGTTGAAGAAAGTATAATAAATGTAAATTCCATTCTAGAGTATCGTGGAATCACTTGGAATATTATTCGTAGCATTGAAATCTCGTTTTCATCCTTATTAAAAATACACGTAGTCTAGCAGCTGTTGGTACAAATAGTGATACTGGGAGTTAATACTTCTAAAAATAATTCTATACCGACCTTGCCGCTTCTGTTGCAGGCATTGAATGTTCATATAGGGGAAATCAAAACCCAAAGGTAAGATGGTACCGTCTAGCTTGCTATTTTATTTCTGTAACTGGGGAGGTGACGCAGGAGCCACTGTAATGCACCGTTTGTTAAAAAGAGATTAGCATCCTATGAGTACATAACTGCGACAACAAACAGCTGGAGGCTGCAACAAAAAAAAAAAAAAACGGTTGGGCAACTTGACGTAATAGAAGCCATGAAAGTGATTAGTAACATTACCTTCACTTTAGTACTAATTTACTGACAGTGAGGTGCTTGGGCAAACACGCCTCCAAATTTCCTACCGAAGCGGGGGCAATACGACTTTCAGATCAGGTTGAATTGGTTTCGTTTTTTTCCGCATCAGCCATGCGATTTGACAATCTGGCAATGCCATCTTGAACGTCGTCACTTCTGGTGTGCGGCGAAAAATCGTTTCGATATCTCGAAGCCGCTGGAAGGTGTTTCGAAAAATGCTCTGTTGTCACACGTTCTTGATTTGCCTCCACTATATTTTCTCCCATATTCCATGTTGAATTGTTTCACTTTGTTTCGTTCCGCATACCAGATACGAAACCCATCTGATTGAGAACAACACGAAACAGAAAACATCTATATACAAAAATGTATATGATTATAAACAAAGAATATTATGATTATGCTCATATAATAAGAATGTGCATTATATCATTATATACCTGACAATATACACAACCACTATACGTGTACAAACACTATATATGATTACGAGCAAACAATATTTATGATCGTGGACAAAATATATGTAAGAATATGTGCATCATATGATTATCTACGTAATTAATTATTAAACATACCTCAAGTTGCCTGGTTAGAACGTTATACGAGGAAGAATAAAAAATTTAATATATAAAATACAACATACAATAACGCACTAAACACCCACACACACAAAAAAAAGAATCATGTAAATTGTCAAAAAATAAAATTAAAACATTCGGAATATCGATCAATAAAATAAAAACAAATTCACAGGCACGCATGCCTCATTCCTGAGTACCGTAAAGTGGTAATTCCCATGATTTTTTTATTTTTTTTTTATTTCTAATTCCCATAATATTATGGGGCAGAAAGCTCCGATCGGATATGGCAAGCTGCGACGGGGGGTTGAGAAATTGTTCAGTACGACACTATTGTAAGCGAATGTTATGAAGATGGTCGTGCCCAGAAAAAAATTCGATAAGGTGGAGGTAATAACCGCTCCTCGATGGGAACATTAAAATATTAAATATTGCGAATTAACATGGGATGGGACGCCAGACCTTGCGTCTGGCGTTTAATGAATGCAAATTTGCTCTACACTATGTACACTACATACAAACAATAAACCGGGTGTTTCAGCGAAGACTGACAAAAGTACTTAAACTTAATTTTCTCAGGACCGCATAAGTCGTGGTGACGGACGTCAGAAAATGTGCGATATTAATTAACTTTTCAAGTAGTGAAAATATATGCATGGTTGAAATTAGAAACTTGTCGAGCGTCATCAGAAACCACTCATTTGTTGATACCTTTAAATAAAATTCTAGAAGTCGCTTGTTCCGTTTTCGATTAGAATCGGCGATTTGTAAAGACTAATTGCCCACTTTATAACTATCGCCTTCACCTACAGCATCAGTAGATCAGTTCGAACCACTGGAGCACGAGCAATGTGATCCATAGGCAGTGACTAGTAGGCCTACATGTACATATCATTACTGACTGCACGCAGCAAGTTTTAGTAAATAGTCTCCTCTCCGGGCCCGGTTACCTGCGGACGCGCGCTTCATCAAGAATGGTTCGCACTAAAGTCACTGGATCCTGGAAAAGTAGCACCGTTGCCTTCCCTGCCTGTTAGCCGAACACAAACAAATAGTAACATACTGTCACCATTGACAATTGACGAGGCTATAATAACTGAAGGAACTAAACGTTTAATTGGGCGAACTTGTGTCCAAAAATAGAAAGGGAACAGAAGAAAGCAGAGCGTCGCGGGCGTCGAAGTCGGCGTGACAGCAGAGTCGAACGCTGGGGCGAAACTGACTGCGGCTTGCCACGCGGAGCGTTTTTTGTACACGCGTAGGCTTCTAACATTCGACGTAGAAGGTTCGATGCAGAGAACATTCTAACCTCGAAGCAGCCCCCCCGAGGTACACGAGAGAGCTCTGCCATTTCAAGCCGGAAAGGACGGTGTTCATAACGCGCTGGAAGGTTACCGGCGCTGTGCACAGTCCGAACGGCATTAGTTTAAATTAATACAGTCCGTCCGGCGTGACGAAGGGCGTCTTCTCGCGATCTCGTTCGTCGACCTATATCTGCCAGTACCCGCTCTTCAAGTCCATCGACGAAAAGTACCGGGCGTGCCGCAGCCGATCCAGGGTGTCGTCAATGCGGGGCAGCAGATAAACGTCCTTTTTGTTACGGTATTCAGCCGGCGATAGTCCACGCATAACTTCAGAGTTCCGCCTGAATTCTTCACCAGGACTACTGAAGAAGCCCACGGACTGTTTGAGGGCTGAACGATGTGTCATCAAGCATTTCCTAAACTTGCTTCTGGATGATTTCCCTTTCTTTCACGGAAACTTGGTCCGCTGGCCGATGCACAGGAAGTGCGTTGACATCAGTAACAATTCGATGTTTCGCAACCGTCGTTTGGCGCTCCTTTGATGACGTGGCGAAGCAGTCATTGAACTCGGCGAGGAGATCAGTCAGCTGTCGTCGGTGGCGAAGGGCGAGGGTTGGGTCGATGTCGAGCTCTGAGGATGACGCTGTCCTCTGCTGCGACGAAGGGGATTCTTCAGATATTCCGGCGATTGCGGCTGTGTCCTGGAGCTCCTCGATCTGTCCCACGGTAGTACCTCTTGTAAGGTGCTGGGCCTCTTGTCGGAAATTCGTTACAAGGACAGCGGTGTGTCCATCTTGGAGCTTCGTTACGCCTCTGGCGACACCGATCCCTCTGCTTACAAGCAGTTGAACATTACCTTCCAGCAGGGCGTCTCCAAAAATTGCTGTTTAGGTTCCAACAAGCACCAGCACACTCGAGCGCAGTGGCTAGTTCACGTGCTCGGATAGCACTGTGGCTGAGGCGGCCGACGTTGATTCCTGAACCCCGGACGTCATAACAGGTTTCCGCAGTGTCAGCTGGTTGGCTTCCAGGTCGATGACGGCGCCGTATTCGCAGAGAAAGTTCATGCCGAGGATAACGTTTCTTGCACAATCTCGTAGAACAACGAACTTCACCGGGTATGTTCCACCATGAATCTCAACGCGAGCGGTGCACCTCCCGACTGGTGTGGTGAGGTGCCCACCGGAAGTTCGTATCTGTGGACCATCCTATGGCGCCTTCACTTTCCGGAGGCGTTGGGAGAGCCTCCCACTCAAGACGGAGTAGTCTGCTCTGGTGTCGACGAGGGCCGACGCGTCGTGGCCGTCAATAACGACGTTTAGGTTATTTTTTACCGTCGCAGGAGCGTCGTTTTTTACGTGCGGCGTCGTTATAGTGGGGCCCTCCGACGTTCGTGGAGGATGTTTGCGTCGGTTATCTTCGGCAACACCACCTCCAGGAGTTGCCGCACTTAGTTTCCCCACCGAGGAACGAGGGGCGACAGGCTTTCATGGTGGGACTTGTGCATCGGTGAAGCGGGGCGTCGAGGTGAGGGCGACCGGTATCCTCAGGAAGGAGCGGGCGCTGGAGACGTCGTTCGATGCCGATATTCTTTGATGTCTCGCGGTTGTTCTTAGCTCCTCGGGCGTGGGGCGTCCGGCGCGAACCCGCGAAGCCCGTGCTGCCGGTAGGGGCATCGCCGGTACACATGGTCAGCTTCCCCACAGTGGTAACACAGCGGGCGTGGGTCGGCGGTCCTCCAGACGTCCGTCTTCCTCGGCGCAGGTTGCTCTGGGTGGACGTACGGCGGTTCCCTGGGTGCTGAAGGCTCACGTCGCGGCTGCGGCGCAACGGGCGTGTGTCGTCGGGCCATCGCGGCGTAGCTCAGCGCCGGTTCTTGGGGAGCTGGAACAAGGCATGGGAGTGTACGGCTGGAACACTCGCTGTACTTCCTCTCGAACCACCTCGGCAATAAGAGCGAAGCCGGGCGGTTGGGAGCCGGCAGTAGATTCTTGAGCTCATCCCGGACGACGCCGCGGGTGACCTGCCGCAGGTGTTCGATGCCGACACCATCGAAATCGGAGCGAGGTAGTGAGACACCCGGAACCGTTGACACACCAGCGAGTCGTTGATAGTGCACAGCTCTGGCCGACAGCGCTCGCTCGATGTCGGTTGTCTCGGCCACGAAGCGGTCTACCGTCGTCGGGACACTGCCGACAAGGCCATCGCAGATTTCGTTCTTGACGCCCCTCATGAGGAAGCGCAACTACTACTTATCGGTGGCTTGCGGGTCCGTGCGTGTACACAGTCGTAGCACGTCTTCAACGAAGCTTGTCACGCTTTCGTTGGGGACTTGAGCCCGCGTCTGGAGCAGGCCCTCAGTTTTCTCTCTCCGGTGTTGGTTTGAGAAGGTTCGCTTCAACTCGGTGGCACATATATTCCACGAAGTGAGCGAAGCCTCGTGGTTTTCGAACCAGCGCCTCACGGTGCCTCCCAGCGAGAAGTAGAGGTTCTGGAGGCGTTGCTCGGCGTTCCATCCGTTGTGGCGGGCCACGCGCTCATAGCGAAAGATCAAGTTTTCAACGTCTTCATAGATTTTGCCATGGAAGGGCGTCGGC